CTCTCTTTTTTAACCCTGCTTCTACTCCTCACACTTGATATTCACCATATGGTTTTATTCTAAGCATGGACAGAGCTTTTTAAAAGGAGAATCTCATTGCTATTTATTGTAGCCCCTAAAAATAAACCATGAGGGTGCTCAGTGCAGATACTCTGCATTGAGATTATATTTGCTCAGCCTGAGTGCTCAGAGCATACCATGACTTACAGGAGCAAAAAACAGTCAGTGTCTGAGTGAACTTGGCCTCTGGTTGAAACATGATCATCTGTGAACTAATGGGCTTTGTGACTTAGTTGATTCAAACAGTACCAGGTTTCTTTCATTTAAGTGGTGCTTTATCCAGGCACGGTGGCTCATGCCTACAACTTTGGGAGGTGGAGGCGAGAGGATTGCCTGAGTCTAGGGGTTCGAGACCAGCCTGGGCAACTTGGCGAGACCTTGTCTCTACAATCAATCAATCGGTTGATCGATCGATCAGTTGGGTGTGGTGGCACACACCTGTGGTTCCAGCTACTTGGAAGGCTGAGACTGTAGGGATCACCTGAGGCTAGCAGGTCAAGGTTGCAGTGGCTGTGAGCGTGCCACTGCACTCCAGCCTGGGCGAGACTCCGACTCAGGGAAAAAAAAAAAAATGGTTCTTTAGTTTTTAAAAGTGATCAAACAAGGAGTCTTGGACAGTGAACATACAACTAAAAAAAGAAAAAGAAACTTTTTTCAGTGGTTCAGCACCTTTATAAGGCACAACAGGGCAGACCCTGGGAGACTGTGAAGCCTAGAAAATACCCCACACTGGCTGCCCACCTCTTCCTGCTGGACTCAGTCTCAGGCCTGGTTCTTTCAGACTGATGGGAGACCTCAAGAGGATGGCTAAGAAGAGATGGGTGTTCAGGCCCAGGTGACAGCCAGGCAAGAAGCCCTGGTAACCCTCTTCCATGAGTACTTTGTGAGGGATAAGGGGCAGAAGAAAAGGTGGGGGAGAGGCGGTTTCTGGGGCACAGAAAGGGAGAACCGTCAAAGCAGGGTCAGTTTTGGGTTCTCCACCCACAACAATGGGTTTAGGATCTGTGTATAAGGACTAGGGGTGACATGATGGAGAAACCCAGAAGTACAACCCTGATATCACATATCCTCGGGAAAAAATATTGTTGAGAGTCATAACTTTCTCCTAAAGGCAACCTAAAGTTTCCTAATGTATACTATGACAGAATGCACTGAAATCCCTTTTTAAAAAACCCACTATAATAATAAACTGGCCAGGCACGGTGGCTCATGTCTGTAATCCCAGCACTTTGGGAAGCTGAGGCAGGAGGATTGCTTGGGCCCAGGAGTTTGAGACCAGCCTGAGCAATGTAGCGAGACCACGTCTCTTCAAAAAAATAAAAAAATTAGATAGGTACAGTGGCACACACCTATAGTCCTGGCTATTTGGAAGTCTGAGGTAGAAGGATTGCCTGAGCCCGGGAGGTCAAGGGTGTGGTGACCCCTGATGGTGCCTCTGCACTCCAGCCTAGGTGTCGGAGTAAAACCCACACTCAAAAAATACATACTCAAAAACCAGTATGTGTTAACTCTTAAAAGATGATGTCATTGGTGATAGGAGGCTGCAGTGGTTGTGTGCATGCCACTGTACTCTAGACTGAGTGACAGAGTGAGACTTTGACTCAAAAAAAAAAAAATAGTGCAGTTATATGGGCAAAGATGTTCTGTACAGAATCAACATTTTGAAAAAAACTTGAACATATATGTGATTGATGTGAGTAGAATTTATGGTAGTAAAGTGGGGAAACAAATTATGGTTCTGTTATGAAATATCAGTCATTATAAACCACGTTAACACATGATCTATTAATGATACAGGGAATGTTCATGATCATGTCATTAAAACCGGAGCAAGTTTCTTAATATTAATGTTAATATAAGGTCCATTCAAAATACATATGAAGATCAGCTGTGGTGGCTCACACCTGTAATCTCAGCACTTTGGGAGGTTGAGGCAAGAGGATTGCTTAAGACCAGGAGTTTGAGACCAGCCTAGGCAATATAGCAAGATCTTGGCTCTACTAAATAAATAAATAAATAAATAAATAAATTAGCTGGGCATGGTATTACATGCCTGCAGGCCCAGTTACTCAAAAGGCTGAGGCAGAAGGATCGCCTGAGCCTAGGAGGTCGAGGCTGCAGTGAGCCATGATGTGCCTCTGCACTTTAGCCTAGGAGACAGTGAGTATATAGAGGATGCCAAGAATAAAAAATGTATACATATTTTAAGAAAGGAAACAACTATATTAAAATTGCAATACACAATATATCTCAATAACAAAAGATGGATACAAGGTATGTTTGACTTCTGCATTTATGAGAGGTACTCACAGTGGTTACCATCAGTGTCCAGACACTTCCAATTACAGTGACTACTCAAAGTAATACATAGATAACAGTACTTAAAATGTGTGCACATATTTTTGGCACCCTTGGCACCCCCTGTATATGTTAGTCTAAGGAAAAAAAATCCATTAGAAAGTCAAGCAAAATGTATTTAAATAGTAAGATTGAGGATAATTTCTATTGTCTTTGGGATTTTTTTCTTTTTCTTTTTTTGCTTAAAAACATTTATTTCGGCTGGGCGTGGTGGTTCAAGTCTGTAATCCCAGCGCTTTGGAAGGCGAGAGGATTGCCTGAGCTCAGGGGTTTGAAACCAGCCTGGGCAACTTGGTGAGACCTAGTCTCTACAATAAATAAAAAAAATAAGCTGGGCATGGTAGTGTGCACCTGCAGTTCCAGTTAATTGAAAGACTGAGGTGGAAGGATCGCCTGAACCCAGCAGGTGCGCTCCAGCCTGGGGGAAAGAGACTCTGATTCAAACAGAAAAACAAAAAAACCAAACAATCCTTCCTTCCTCCCTCCCTCCCTTCCCTTCCCCTTCCTTCCTTCCTTCCTTTTTTAAGGCGGTGAACATTTATCTCTGGTCTTGTGTCTTAAATACACTTTTATCAACAACAAAGTAATTCCAATTCTAAAAAAAACAAAGCAAAACTATATAGTGAAACATTACTTTTATGACTGAAAAAACTAACTTAAATTATGCATAATTTAAATTCTATGTAATATGCTAAATTGTTTAAGTTATAATAAAGTTATACAAAGTTACAAAAATTATCAGTTTAAATCATGATTTAAACAAAAAGACATAATGAATAACATGTAATACAGTTAATACATGTGATGGGTCATTCATTAGAGCAGTGTTTAGTATAAGAAGTTTCCAGCCGGGCTCGGTGGCTCAGCCTGTAATCCCGGGCCTTTGGGAGGCTGAGGTGAGTGAATTGCCTGAGCCCGCGGGTTCGAGACCCGCCTGGGTAGCGAGACCTCATCTCTACAATAAATCAAAAAAAATCAGC